TCCCGAGTCCACTTCTCACTTCACAAGCTGGCTGTGGCTTCATGTGAATAAAATGTTGAATAGCATTGAGGGAGAAAGGGAGGGGCCTCAGGGCAACTGAGCACCTCCAGAAAGGTGTGCCACCTGAGGTGGCCCAACAGGTTTCCGGCCTGATAACTGCCTGTGAGTCACCTCTTTACATGACCAGTTCTGTCAGCACTTACTTGGCCTTCCTGAGAGTTGCTCTCCAGGTCATGGAGGAGCTAGCAATGCAACAAGAAGAGACCTGACTTCTGGGAGCACATGGGTAGCTGTGCAGGGCATCGTCAGGGCCTTATGGTGTACACTGCGTTTCAAATGGCCCAGAAGACTGAGATGGATTCAGTCTTGGATGGTCTGCATGAGAAACGCTGTAGTTTTATTTTTATTTTGAGACAAGTTCTAAATTGCTGAGGCTGACCTCTAACTTTTTTTTTTTTTTTTTTAAATGATACCTTATGTACCTCCTAACCATGTGATCTTGGCAACTTTATTTATTTATTTATTTATTTTAGAGAGAGAGAGAGAATTTTTTAATATTTATTTTTTAGTTCTCGGCTGACACAACATCTTTGTTTGTATGTGGTGCTGAGGATCGAACCTGGGCCGCACGCATGCCAGGCGAGCGCGCTACCGCTTGAGCCACATTCCCAGCCCCCTGACCTCTAACTTTTGATCCTCCTGCCTCAGCCTTCGGAGTTGCTGGGATTACAGGCTTGTGCCATCAAGCCCAGCATGTGAGACCCTTTCAAAGGCTGAATCCACATATGTTAACTGTGATCCCCTTTGACCTCCCTCATTTCCAAAGTCCTTGATCATAAGCAGGAAAGTTTCATTTCACTCAACAAACTTTGACTATTTAAGCATATATTCTGTGGGGGTATATGAGGTGGGTAGGAGCAGAGGTAGTGACAAAAGTAAGTGAGGTAAAGTCTCAGACCTTGGGGATTTTACCATTTAGAAAGGTAAAACACTGTCACGAGGCTAACAATTTTTTAAATACCTGCTGTGTGCCAGGCACTGTGTTAGGCACTCAGCATACATTATCCAAATGCAATTTGAGGTCCAAATTGTGATGAGTTCAGGTTTCCCAAGAAAGTAATTCAGATATCCTGTATTCAAATTCCAGCTCTGTCATGCTAATTAGGGGGAACGCCTGATCTCTGAGGTTCCACTTCCTCACTTGTAAAAATGGGACATTTACCCCCCATTCCTTACTGAATTCAGTAACATGCAAAAGTTCTTATACCTGTAACATCTTTACATTTTAAACATGTAAAAGGTAAAGTTTCTATTCCACTAGAATATAACGCCCCAGAGAACAGGAATTTTAAAAAAGAAAACTTTTATTTTAACATCATATTTACAGAAGAGTTGCAAAGGTGTATAAAGAATGCCCATATACTCTTCACGTAACTTCCTCTACCACTAACATCTTAAATAACCACAGTGCAGACATTAAAACTAAGAAATTAATATTAGTGTAAAATATTAGCTAAACTACAGATTTTATTCTCATTTTTATCAGTATTTCAACTGATATCCTTTTTCTGCTCCAGGGTCTAATCCAGAATCCAACACAGCATTCAATTGTTTTTTTTTTTTGGTCTTCTTAGTCTGTGACAATTCAACTGCTCCTTTTTTGTTAAATTAAAAAAAAATTAAATTTATTTTTAAAAAATAAATGACAGCACAATGCATTACAATTCTTATTTCACATATACAGCACAATTTTTCATATCTCTGGCTGTATATAAAGTATGTTCACACCAATTCGTGTCTTCATACATGTACTTTGGATAATGATATCACATTTCACCATCCTTGCTTACCCCCTGCCTCCTCCCTTCCCCTCCTACTCCTTTGCCCTATCTAGAGTTCCTCTATTCCTCTCATGCTCCCCCTCCCTACCCCACTATGAATCAGCCTCCTTATAGCAGAGAAAACATTTGACATTTGGCTTTTTGGGGGGACTGGATAACTTCACTTAGCATTATCTTCTCCAACACCATCCATTTACCTGCAAATGCCATGATTTTATTCTCTTTTATTGCTGAGTAATATTCCATTGTGTATATATGCCACATTTTTTCATCTTGCTCCTTCTTTCATGAATTTGACATTTTTTAAGAGAATAGTTCAGATAAATTGTAGAAGTAGACAAATCCCTCAAAGCAGTTTTTCCTTTTTCTCATGATTAGACTGAGGTTATAGATTTGGGGGGGGGGGAGAACAATACAGAACTGGTATGTCCTCTTCACTGCAATGGGGTTGGGGTATGTCATATCAACATGACCTTCATGGTGATAGGGGATTTTGACTGGTTCATATCCAATATCTAAAATAGACTTGCTTATGGTAGTACTCATTAACACTCAATGAATTCTTCTTTTTTAAACTCTTCTGTGTCTTCCACTGATTTTTAAACTCCTAAATGGGGGGCTGGGGATGTGGCTCAAGCAGTAGCGCGCTCGCCTGGCATGCGTGCGGCCCGGGTTCGATCCTCAGCACCACATACAAACAAAAATGTTGTGTCCGCCGATAACTAAAAAATAAATATTAAAATTCTCTCTCTCTCTCCCTCTCTCTAAAAAAAAATAAATAAATAAACTCCTAAATGGCAAGGACCATACATCATCATATTTTCTGATGCCTGGCACTTGTGTTTAGTTTTGGTAAAGATTTAGGGATTGAGGCCCTGAAGCTAGCTCAGTGGTAGAGACATGGTTAGCATGCAAAGGGCCCTCGGTTCAATCCCCAACACATACAAAAGGGTGGAGGGAGGTTTGAATTGAAAGGAGTCTGGTTGTACTTTCAGGCAAAATCAGGTTTATTTGATAGTCATTAAAGAACCAGTGATACCAATGATGTGAATCAATCAAGGCCAAGTCCCATTTCCCCAGATATTGAAGACTGAACATCCATGAAACTCCGAGGCAAGGGTAGAAACCAAGTTTATTTAAAGGACAGAACAGAGGTAGACTTGACAGAGAAGGGGGCCACAGAGCTGGGTGTCTGAGTAAGTGGGGTATCCTGCCCCTTTTATACATTTCAGATTTCCTTTGTTCTCATGCTCTGTCCCCGCCCCCACATCCTGACAAAGGTGAGCCAAAAGGCAGAGTGATACTGGGTGGGAAAAGGAAGAGAGTGGGAGGGGGTCATTCCTGAACAACTCCCGCAGAAACAATTCCCTGGAGGTAGGTCACCTTGGCAACAGGAGAAGGGGAAAATGTCCTGAAGGTAGTAACATTTTATTTCCTCCTGAATCAGCCCCCATCTTTCTGACCCAATCATTCATTACCTACGTTGACTGTCTTTTTGTCCCCAGGCCTCAACAGTATCCGGATTTTAAGCAGTTCAGTTAAGCAACTAATAATAATTAAACATTTACTAAGTACTGGCATTCATTAAGGGCTGAAGTCCCTACTGTAAAGGAAGGCTTGAGATGGAGGGCTGAGAGGAAGCTTTGAGTTCTGAGCCTGCATGACGCAGATTTGGTGAAAGCATTCTAAGAATGAGAAACCAGAGGAGGACATTTGGGCTGTAAGAAATTAATTTGGTTTTGAATCTGTTGAATTTGTCTCCCAGAAAAAACCTGTAAAACAGAGCTCAGAAGGCAGGGACAGTGGCCCACATCTGTAATCCCAGATACTCAAGAGGCTGATTCAGGAGTCCTTAAATTCAATGCCAGCCTGGGTAACTTAGCAAGACCATCTCAAAATGGAAATTAAGAGGGCCGAAGGTACATCTCAGAGATAGAGGGTCCCTGGGTTAAATCTCCAGTACCACAAAACACATACAAAAAAAACCCCACAAACAACACCACCACTCCCCATCTCTAAAAGGCAATATAAATGCTGAGCAGGCCATACGGTAGCCCTACAGATTTAGATTGAAGCCATTTCTAGTTGATTGACAGATAAAACACAAGAAGAGGGTAAGAGGGGCAGACTGTATTGAGAGAAGCTATGGGCAGAGAGAAAATTCTGTATCGAGGAGTAGAACTGGGAAATACTAAGGGGTATAGAGAAGTTATATAAAGAAGTTATAAAAGAGAGATTTCAAGGATTGGTGATCACACCAACTAAAAAGGGGAGGTGAGTACTTATTTAGGAGACACCAGATGATTACCAAAAAAATAAGGAAAGAGAGGGAAATAAAATGACAGAGTGATTACAACTATTTTGCTTTCCTTTGAGAAACCTAACCATAAACAGAAAGGAGGGATTTGTGTAATAGAAAGGCCGGGAAACGGCTTTATTGCAGTTCTGCCATTAATCTCTGATCAAGGTGCTCACATAAGGTCGTAACCTCTGAAGCCACAACTTTCCTTGTAAATATAACTGGTACACGTGACATTCTGCAAGACAGGTTCGGGGCCGGCCTCCCCACCACACGGTAAGCTCCAGGGCAGCGGCCAAAATGCAGTATTTATGCCAATTATCCCCACGGCTTCCTCGAGCGACAGCTGAACCGGGTCAGTGGGGTCGACCAGTAACTGGGGCAAAGTCGCCTGTCCTCTAGCTGCTGCCCATCACCTCTGCATCCCCCGTCGCCCGGAGGAGGGTACCACGCGCGCCCCATTTCAGAAGAGGAAACGATGGGAACGAGGAAAACACTCCGGGCCAAAGTCCCTGGAGGTCCTGGAGATGAGATGCCTTTTTCGCACAGACGTCACGGAGTGACAAGGCGAGAAAGGAGTCAGACGAACCAAAATCTCATCGCAAAGTTTAAGAATATGGGGTGGGGTAAGGGAAAAAAAAGGAAGGAAGGAAGGAAGAAAAAGACCTAGCCCGCGCTGGTGCTTCTCAGGCTCTATCGGTCGCCAGCCAGCCCGGCCGGCCTGTGTCGCAGTGCGCCGGCGCCACGCCTGACTTCCGCCAGACTCGATCCGGCTTCAGGGCTGCCTCTCCCCATCTCGCGAGGTCCCGGGCTGCAGTGAGACGCGTACAGTGTGACTAGAGAGAGCGCGTGCTGATGACGAAAGCGGACGTGCTCCGGTCGGAGGTGTGTTCATAGCCCGGAGGGGGCTCGGGATTGCGGAAGTATCGTGAGGAGGGTCCGGCGGCTAGGAGCGTGGAGGGTTGTTTTGCTGGTTCCCGAACTGAGGCCGCTGTTCTGGGTCCGAGAGCCCCAGCCTCTCGAAGTTTGCGGCTGTTACACGGGCTTCGCCCCTGTTGGCGCTTCTCGCCCCGCGTTACTCCTCAGAGAGCCACTTTGGATCCCCGCCATGGCATCTGCTGGGGCCAACCTTCAGGTATCCCTTTTCCTCTCCCGCCCCTTTCCGAGAGCCGGAGCCGAGGGGCGGCGCGAGCGGTGGGGTTGGGGCGAGGAGGAGGGAGGAAGCGGCCGCGCCCTGGCCGGGCAGGGGCGGGGCGCCGGGGAGCCGCAGGTGGGACCCTGGAAGCTCTGCCACCCGGGGGTCCACGGCCGCCGGCTCTGGGAGACTCCTGAGTTGGTTGGAGCTTTAAAAGGCGAGACAAAACAGCCTCAAAGCAAGCTGGGCAGGTCTCTCCAATAACTGCCAGGAAGAAAGTAAAAGCATAGTTTTTGCAAAGCAGTACTTGGACCAGTTCAAAATAGGATGGTTGTGGCTCTCTCTTAATTTCTCAGGCTTATAACGCAAAGCCCTTCTTTTTGAGTTTGTTTGACGTGAGTAGAAAAATGAGTACGGCCCTGGAAGCTGTGGCTAGAGCCAACTTACATAATTCATTGAACATATGTGTTTATGTGCACGCTCCCAAATTGCAGTATGTAAGATCAGGAAGTATTTTTAAACTTCTGTGGCTCCACTTCTCCAGGCCCAAGGTAATGAGCACAGTGTTATGTACATAAATGATGGGATACTAAAATTGTAGATTCAGTCGTTAGTGCTTTACGGAATGGAATTCTTTGAGAAAAAAAAAATCTGTAAGGGTGCCTTCCATCTTAAAAGGATCTGTGATTTCAGTAGGGTTTGGAATGTGGCTTAGCCTCCAGGATTTCCAGCCTAAAAGGTCAGTTTGGGACAACAGAATAGCATGAAATATCTATATTGAATATCTGTCTTGGACTTACACTAGTTTATCAAACAGACAGCAATATTGATCGACTGTTACAGATGTCAAATGGAAAAGAACTCCTTGACTCAAAATAATTGGTCCTGAGCAAAGACCACTCACAGTAGACCTATTTTAAACAGAGATCAAGTTTTTACCAATAAATAAAAGCAAGGGAATACTGGTTTGCAGCTCTTTTCTTGAAAATCTTCCTTAAATATATGAAAATAAATGTTTTATATTTTTTCATAAAATGTTGCAATTGGAACTATGACTCATTTCTTAGAATAAAGAATAAATTGCATAAAGGTTGTTTGTTGGATGTTCTCTAGTGAATCAGCTAGAGATTGACATTCACTGAAGGTGTAGTGACTAGTGATAAACAGGAAGGATGTTGAATAGTTTTATTAGGTGTTGGTTCAGGTATGCTTTCTCAGTTAGCCTTTCCACCTTCTAACCTAGGAAATTTGGATGCAGAAGAGTCAAACAATGAAGAACTCTCCCACTGAATGAGACAGAAATCCCTGTAGCCAGATACTACAGGGAGTACAGACAACTAAAAATCAAAATTATGAAATAATTTCATGATACTATAATAGAATCATGGGTTAATGTGGAAATGTAGTGTGGAAGAGCATATCTTACTCTTCTGAGATCAAATGAGGAATGCTTCACAGAGGAGGTGATGTGATCATAGAAAACCCAACTGTAATCATCTCCTATATGTTTGATGTGATCTCATGTAATACCCAAAACAGCTCTTCCAGGTGAATATTATTCCAGTTTCACAGTATTAGAAACCTAAGTTTATTAAGGTTTGTGTCCCCAAAGATGTGATTAATTAATTAGTTTTAGTTAAGTAACTAGTTAATTAGTATTAAGGTTCTTTTTTGATCCAAATCTGTCTACTTACAAGCCTGGCTTTTTCACTACAAAATTCTGTCTCCTTGGATGCTTTCCCAAGGAGATAAAAAACAACTTATGCACTCAGTAGTGTAATAAACTTTGCAGAGGTTGGAGGAAACTGCAGGTAATACAATATGAAATAAAACTCCCAAGTTGACTCAGTCCCTAAATATTTATTATGTCTACCCTGCCATGCATTGTACTAAGTCCTGGGAAATTGTAAAACATATCTATCTATCTATCATTGGTGACCTTACATGGCTTATGTGAAAACAGACATATTAAGTGGCTTAAGATACAGTGTGATCTTTGGAAAAATGTACAGGAGACAGTGGGAATCTATTAAGTAATGTAGGCTGAGCCATCTTAAGATATTGGGAAGGCTTTGCAGCAGAAGGACAAGTTCTCAAGAAGCTGGAATATCACAAGAGAGAGTATAGAGTACACTGTATGCATACAGAGGCATGCCACCGAAGTCCATTGGGGTTGTGCCAGTAGTTAATATGATGGGAATTCAGTGTGCAAAGTCGGAGGCACAGGCCTGAGGAGGTATGCCATATCATGAGGAGCCTTGTGTGCCACATCCATGGGGAGTCATAGAACAGTTTCAAACCATGGAGTAGCATGCTCATACTTTTGATTTAGAATCAAACTGTCATTTGTATGTGGTGGGTGGAGTAAACGTGACTGGAAGCAAGCCTGGTGCAAGGAAACCAGTTAGAAGGCAGAGGCCTGTGTGATGGGACATAGTAACTGACCAGATTAGTGTTGTACTTATTCAAATAAAGAAGAAAGGCTTGATCAAAGGAGAATAATCTTATATCTATAATAAAAAAGTGAGGAGGGAGGAGGAATATGGGATTTCTCCCAGCTTTCTGGATTAGATATCTTGAAAGGGTAGGAGTTGGTTCTGGGAATACAAAAAGAGGGGTATGTTTAGGGAGATGCAAAAATAAATTTAGTTCTGAACTTGCAGAATCTGAAGTGCTTATGGGGACTATCCAAAAAAAAATGCCCAGTGAGCATTGGGGAGTTATTAGCATAAAGATGGTAGCAGAGGTTGTGGACATAGGGAATCCCATCTTGGAGAGCTTACAGAATAAGAAAAAACGAGGACTAAGGCAGAAACTCTGGGTTGTTGAGGTTTAAGGAAAGAGCAAAGGGAGCCTGAAAGACTCTAGACCAGGGTGAATGGTGTGATAGTCAGGAGACACTGTTAGGTGTTTGTTCTGGTGTTCCGCATGAGCCTTGGGAATCAGCAGGCAGAACACATTGCTGTGGGAGGAACAGGATATCAAGAAACCCGGATGAACCTGGGGTACTCTTTGGGATTTTGCTGTGGAGGTGAAGAGATGGTAAGAGAGTCGGTAAAGAGAAATCTAGGAACTGAAGAGAGTTGGTTATTTGAATTCTGTAGATATTAGTCTGAGGTAAGATTTAAACATTTTTCTGCAGAGGAGAGACCTAACCAAAAAAAAAAAAAAAAAAAGGGAGAATAGTAGAGTGGCATATCACTGATGGAGTAAATGTCAGAGTGGAGGGGGGGATGGGTTCTGGAGCATAGAGAAAGCATTAGTATTGGCAGACAAGGAACGGGACATTTTTTCTTCTGAGACATGTAATTGTAGAATTTACCATTTCCCAGGGTTTTCTAAGGTAAATACACCATGGGCTCCTAACCTGAAAAGGACAGTCCCAGATGTTCCCTATCTTGATTCTTTCATATTGATTGACTGGACCATGACTGACCATGGGGTAATGAAGTCACTGTTTTTTGCCATCCCTCTGTGCCAAACTCATGCAGAAGTGAAGACAACAGACATAAGTAACTCCTGTTCTTATGGAGGTTACATTCCAGGGGGATAACCAAGCCAAAAAAAAAAAAAATCACAGAAGCAAAACCCACTTATGCGTACAGGTAAACATCTGGATGAATTTAAACATAGGAGCGATGTGAACGACTATGTTTTAAGATGGAATAAATTTGGTAGTCAGCCTAAAGATTATCGGTGTTAAATCATTGAGACATCTTACTTAGGGAGGGAGTAAACAAGTGAGTCCCATTGCAAACACAGAGGAACATATTTCATCACATGCCAGGAGGAGGATCAACAGAGAAGCTGCTGGAGAGGTAGAAAAAAATCAGGAAAATGGGGCTTGGGGATCAGCAGAAGACAGTCAAGAAGAAAATGAGAAACTTTGTGGAATACAGTCAGGTCAGGATGAAGCCAGAGCTTGTCTTTGGGTCTGACACCATAGCCTTGATCTGAGCAGTTTTATTCATGTAATGAGGGTGTTTTGCTCAGCTTTTTTGCTGCTGTGACTAAGGATCTGACCAGAACAACTATAGAGGAAGGAAAGTTGAGAGCCCACAGTTTCAGAAGTCTTAGTCCATAGAAGGCTGGCTCCATTTCTTGGGTTCAGGATGAGGCTGAGTATCATGGAGGGGTGTGTGGCCGAGGGAAGTAGCTCACATCATGGTAATCAAGAAGCAGAGAGAGAAACTTCACTCTCCAGATACAAATATATACCCCAAACCATGCCCAATTCCCACATCCTCCAGCCACACCCTACCACTTTAGTTAGTCCCATCAAGAATTAACTCACTGATTAGGCAAGGGATATAATCTAATCATTCCTCCAAACTTTCTTGCATTGCCTCACATGTGAGCTTTAGAGGGGCACCTCACATCTAAACCATAACTGCGGGGAAGAGAATAGAGGCTAACCCCATGTGATTTGGGCTCTGAAAGGTAGCAGAGAAAGAGAACTAAGCTGAAGGGTGTGTTTCGAAGTAGGGCTATTTGTGTGCTTTCAGAAATATCCAGTGTAGAGAAATTGTTAGAGATAACAAGAGACAGAATAACCAAAGGGAGGGAGATTTTTTTCACTTATTCATCAATTTGAGTACCTACCTTCTGCCAGCACTGTTCTGAGGCTCGGAAGCTCCAAGTGAGCCTCTGTCCTCACAGAGCTTAATTAGTAAAGGAGAAGGCCTGTGAGTGAATACATAGGTAAATACAGTGATGATGGGTAAGGGAGTGCAGGAATGAGGGGAAAGCTGGAAGCATGGGTGGAATACAGCCTCTGCTATGCAGATTAGGGAGGGCTCTCTGAATTTGCCAGCTGAACTAGGACTGGAGTGTTCTAGGAGAGGTCTGTAGTGCTCAGGCTGCCTGAGTGAAGGGGAGGTCTAGAGGGTTACAGCTAAGATCCAAACATAGCTGGGGCCATGGCCCTGTGAGGCCCTGTAGATGATGTTGCAGCATTTGAACTTCATTATTTACAGTAGGAAGCCATCAGCAGTTGCTAT